TATACTTATATATACCTATAGGTGGGCATCTTTTGACCACTGGTGAAACACACGGATTAATCCACCTCACACACGTCTTTTCTTGGTCGATATCGGAAGATCATTAGCCGACTTTGAACTGACGGAAATAGAAATGTCTGCGGGCGTTGTGCATATTGCCCATCAATGAATGGGAGGGCGCACACCCCACAGTGTACTATTGGCAGGGGGGAGGGGGCAGGGGCCGCACACGCGTAGCAACTTTGTACTCACTAAGTTCGAGGATATCTTCAAGGCCTTGATAGCCGCGATCTCTAACCTTGGACATTTTAACCTTTTTGAGGTTCCTATCGTGGCCTTTTTATCTTTTCGCTTTCGTTTCGCTGCGCTGTGCGCGTTGCTGCGGGGCCTGCTGGGCCCGCGGCGGCGAGGTATGTATGTACTCTGTACATTGACGTACTTTGGCGCGTGCGGCGCGATTTGAAGTCGGCCTTTACTCTCGTTGCCGTCTGCAAAAATTGAATTGTGAAATCAGAGCATAAGAGGCAATTGAAACACCCTCGTTTTTGCCACGAGACCTGACAAAGTCGTAAGAGTTTTCCAATAGGAAAGTTATAGAGGAGATACCCACATCCCCGCCGCAAAGAGAAAAAGGGGTAAAAAGAAGCAGAACATTCTGAATCTTTAATTATAACTCCACAGAGGTGCTACTATGTTCAACCGTTTTAGTCACTTTGGAGATTTGATTTGTAAGAAATTGAGCACCATTTCAAAATATCGACAAAATGTATAGTTTATACCGGTAAAATGGTCACTTTTATTCAAACACCGTGACGTCTAATTTAAACGGCTTTAAATCGTGTCATATTAGTTCGAATACTGTGTCTTATTCGTTAAAGCGTGTCATTGGTAAACCTGCCAAGCACTTAGCCCGTGACGGCAGTGAGAAGGCGATGGTCAGTCAGGTTCTAACGAATTTGATACTCACAAAATTGCACGTAATACTCAAAAATTTAGTAAGTATTACTAATTATTTTGTTAGAGGAACTACTTAGGAACATCATCCTAAGTACTTGCCAACAAAATAATTAGTATTACTTACTAAATTCGTTAGTATTACGTGCAATTTGGTGAGTGTTACTGCTGTATAAGCAAGTTCATTGTGTATTTGCAAAATGTCAGTAACGGGCTGAGAGTGTACAAAGAAAATTCTTGTATTACAAAGAATTTTGTGCAACCGTAATACAAAGCCAAATTTTCTTTGTAATACAAAGAAAAGTCATTGTAATACAAAGAAAACTTTTGTGTAATACAAGAAAATTTCTTGTAACATACAAGGAAATTTCCTGTATATTACGGTTGCACAGAATTCTTTGCATTATACGAACAAATTCTTTGTAAAAGATTTAGAGTTGCACCCGAATAGGAAACCCATGCCGCAGAGCGCATAGGCCTCGCCTCCTAATTTGTTGAAGGCTCCTTACTAGTGTGTAGGAGTAGTCCAAAGAACAAATTAACATTTCAAAACTTCAAATTTTCTAAAAAACAAACAAAAAACACACCATTTTTTCTAATATTCTCCGTGAAATTTCGGATTAAAAGGCTTTTTAGAGCGAGAGTTTCTTCGTTGTTTTCCCTGCTCACTCAGACGGACGGACAATTTTTGTACGTAGGTTAGATGTGTCTGTGCACATCCAAACCAGATACAAATTTGTAACTACGTTACATGCAAATTACAGCATTTGTACCCAGCCTGGGTAAAATTTGTACCCCCGTACAGACAAATTTGTATCTGATAAAGATGTGCTCAAAGATACATCTAACCAAGGCAACCCCCCCCCCCCCCAATTTAGAGTTTGTGTTTTTTCACGTGTCCTATTAGTTTAGTGGAAGAGTCCACCGGAAAGACTGAATGTGAACTAGGTTTTCGGTCTTAGGGGTCGTCCACATATTACGTCA